CTTGTAGAGTATTTACGCATTGTAAAACACTTGTTTTCTTGCRGATGATATGCATTGTTAAACAATTGTTTCTCAATGTATTGTGTGTGTACTAGCCTAAAGAATGGCCTATGATGTTTCATCAGAATCTACAATTTTCTTCTTTTACTTGGTTGATTACGTCCCAAGATTATTCACAATTATTGTACAAATGAATCTTCCTGTAATAGAATGTAATGTTAAAAAGGTTTTTGAGAACATTCTGTTTACAATCTCTTTACATTTATGGCTTGATTGGCAGAGCATTAATTGGCAGAGCATTAATGCTCTTTAAAGAGCATTATGTCTTTTATCATTAAAACTTGATTAGTTGACAGAGCATTAAGTAGGACATTTAGTAACTGCAAATGCTCTCAAAATGCTCCCCCCTCAGTGCTCTCAAATGGAGCATTTCCAAAGCATTGATCTCTAAATATTTTAATACAAAAATTAAAAATAAAATTATATAACTAACCAATTTATTTTATATTACAACTAAACAAATTATACTAACTTTTAATTATTTAAATTCATATTTATCATTATTTAATTTATTCTATTATATTAAGATAATATTATAATATAATACTAATTCAATTAAATATAATTTAAATTCGAAAAGATTATAAAAGAAATTTATGTTATAATTTCTAAATATAATATATACAAGCATTTCAATAAAAGTAAATATACATAATTTCTGTAATTATAAAACATATATATATATATTAATATTTATCATTTTTTATATGTTCTATTGTTTTTTAAATAAATTTTAATAAAAATATAAATAAAAACTTAATATATACCATTAGTTTATTTGTCATATTATTTGTGAAATAGTATTATAATAAAATAATAATTTAATTAAGAAATAAAAATTGATTTTATAACTTATGACAATATACATAATGTATTAGAATACATATAAATAAGTAAAATAAAAAAAATTATTTTAATTTTTTATCTAATCATTCACAACTCAACCAATCAGCTAAATGTGTATATTAATCAGAGCATACTGCTCCAGCTGCTTACTGCTAATCATGCATTATGCTACTACTCATCAAAAAACTATACCAATCAAAGCCTAGTATGTGAGAAACACATTAAACTTCCCAAAAAAAAAAAACAAACATTCATGTTCCTTCGATGACAATGTCGATTCCTAACTCCCTAATAAACAATCAATCGCCAAATTTCGAAAACATTCTAATGCTTATCTGAATTTAGGATAAAGATTGATCAATTTATAGTCACAGAGAGAGCAGCGTCTCCTGATAGTGTTTAGATGATATGATCAAGCTGATGAAGAAGATTTGCTGAAATCGAAAACCTTAATGTATCGGTAAGAGCATGAAGAGCAGCTTTTGATGCAGTATAAACACCAGTCCATGGTCCTGGTGCCATTATGCTAACATGAAGAGCAGCTTCCTATGTTCACAATCTTTTCCTTTCTCTTAGATGCCATGTGAGGTACAACAGCTTGAGTCATCCTCATGGAACCTGCAAATTTCTTTAAAAAGTTAAGTTCTTTAAAAAATTTGTCACAGCCCAAATCACCACACAAATCACACCGACTTAAAATCAACAAAAATTGAGTCAGGAATTTTAACAAACACTTGGTGATAATTAAAGAGAATTCGAAAAATTTGTCAAACACCGAACACATTGGTGTTGAAGGTGTTTTCCATGGCGGAAATTGGAGTTTCCGCGAGAGCTCCGATATATACATTGAACTCCGGCGTTATTGACCAGAACATTGATCTGACCGAATTTGTCGATAACTTTCGACAAAATTTTACTCACGCTCTACTCTAATTGAACATCGAGCTCTTCCACAAACAACTTCAGATCTTTTTCCAGATCGATCATGGTGCTCTGAGATCGACTTGTCGCCACCACACGACAACCATTCGCCGAGAACTCACGAGCCAACGCGTGACCGATTCCTCCCTGAGAACATCATGTGATGAGAACCACTGGCATTTCATCGTTGCTTCCCACTCTTAAAGCTCTCAAAGATTTCAGATTAAGCAACTATGGAGTTAATAACTGATTTTATATAATCTTACCGGAAAAAAAAAAAGATTAATTCCGGAGAACGAGCGAAGAGTTGAGGAGTAGCACGGAAGACTTGGTCGAATTTTTGCTTCAAAACATCGAATCGTCGTGTAGTTTCATCTTCATAGACATGCTCAAGAGAAGAGAAGATCGGAACCGCAACTTCTTCAAAACTCGCGGTCCAATAAAAATGTGACACGTGTCTCGGTTGAGACGTCTCAACCGTATCATCCTGCATAAATGGCTCAACAAAAATTAAACCCAAAAATTAGTTTTTTATTATTTTTAAATCCATAATACTCTCAAAAACTTACCAATAAACATGCTCTAAGTTTATACGGTTCATTAATCATGATGGCCTGTAGGCACTAATGTTAATGTGACACACCTTAATTGGGCTTTTAATAATCTCAAGGATCCATCAAAATACGGCCCCATAGAAATTCACGATGAATGAACGAATCACCTTCCTTGGCTGCTTCTCCAAGTAAAAAAAACATAAGCCCTCTTTAAATCCCTAGCGTCTTCTCCAGAAACAGTTGCAATCTGAGGAATCTGATTTCGCGGATCTTTGATCGGAAAATAATGGGGTTAACGAATTTCATACTGACTGTGGCCGGAGTAGGCGCCGTGGTGATGCTATTGAGG